CATATTTTATTGTCAACAAAATAGAATTAACTATTAATTATTCATTCTCTATTCTGTTATCTGTTTATATTAACAGTGAGTAAGTGTTGAATTTTATTCATATATATATAAATAATCATAATAGTTTATTATTAACAAAATAGGATTAACTATTAATTATTTGTTCTCTATTCTGTTATCTGTTTTATTTATATGTTAAATCAACAGGGCATAAATGTTGAATTTTATTCATATTCATATATAAAATAATAATAATATTTGATTGTCAACAAAATAGAATTAGCTATTAATTATCCCTTCACTATTCACCTACACATTAAAAATAGGCGGTAAGTACAGTATTATAATTTATCATGAGAACTATTTAATAGCAAATGACAAGATATCAATTTGCAGAGATTCTTATTATAGAAAATGTGAAAATTATGGACAATATAACACGTTTTGTGCCTGGTGCCAGATGTGTGATCCTAAAATAACTGTTCAAGGATGGTCAAGTACAAGTGGAGATAACGATGTTGATAATTGCATTAAAGGATTTTAATCTAAAGCTATAATGCATGATGACATTATTGAATAGATCCCATTTGATAGACTAGAAAAGGTTAAAAAAATTGGTGAAGAGGTTTTGGATCAGTATTTTCTGCAGTTTGGTTAGATGGAATACGAGTAACTGAATGTAATGATGACAACTAAATAAGGTTACGTGAAGAAACGTCTACAGTTGCGTTTAAAACATTGCCAAATTTAGAAGAAGTATGTTAAATTTGTTTTTTTTCATCATAAATTTATGGAAAGTCTTTGCATCACCCGGGTTGGTATATCACTTCGTCTAAATTAAATAGTAATTTGATGACGCAAATCATCTTAGGGTTAGGGTTAGTCAGTCAGTTAATTTAGTATGCAATTTAGATAGGAGCAGCAATAAATTATTTACCACTCCGGTAACACAAAGACGACTCCTAAATTTAAGTATTTTCATATTAAGCAAATAAATATATTAATGTAAATTCATTCAATAAGCTTAAAAATCATATGCAATGTAGGATGATGGGAAGTGAATTAGCGATATATGGATTAACTAAAAGTACAGAAAAGATTGAGCATCTTGAGGCTGGTGTTTACCTGATGGTACTTCAATTTGCTGATAATGGAAGTCTTAACAAGTTTCTAGAAGATAGTTTTGAAGAACTTAAATGGGAACACAAATTATCACAACTTGTTGATATATCAAATGATTTAGCAAAAATTCACAAAGCAGGATATACACACAGTGATTTTCATAGCGGAAATATTTTGCAAAATAAAATTGGTGGATCTATGTTTTCTTACATTTCAGATCTTGGATTATCTAAGAAAATCGAAGAACACAATCAAGGTGAAGAAATTTTTGGAGTTATGCCCTATGTTGCACCTGAAGTTTTATCACAAGGTTATTATACACCAGCAGCTGATATCTATGGACTAGGCATTGTTATGACAGAAATGTCATCTGGGCAAAGGCCGTTTGATGGCCATGAATTTAATACAACTCTTGCATGTAAGATTATTAAGGGTTTACGACCAGACTTTGCACCTGGAACTCCGGATTGCTATATTAGATTAGCTAAAAAATGTATGGACCCAGATCCACAAAAACGGCCCACTGCAAATGAAATTTATTTAAACCTTTATAATCTATAGAAATTTGTCCATTATAATTATTCTTCTGATAAGCTTCATATAAAAGAGAAATTCTTAGAAGCTGATAGAATTATTAAAACATTACCGCCTATCGAACGAAAGCACCAAGATTTAATGTATACTAGAAAAGTTATTAACATACGTCAGATTAGAGGTATTTAAATTATTTTTACGAATAACTATAGAATATCTAGATTTGCATCAAAGGTTTTTTATGGTATAGTATTTGAAAACTAAAGTTATTAAAATTTTTTAACAATAATTTAGCTTCAATAGATATTGAACTTCAAATAGGATGATTTTTCATGTAAGTCTATGTTATTGCTAATATATATTTAAATGTTATGTCAACTCTAAAATTATTATTTGGTAATTTATTCTAATTTATTCTAGTTAATTATAATGAACATTAGCAGAAGAAAACCAGTAAATTTCAAAGAATCTTTGCAATAATATTAATTGATTGGAATATGTAAAACTGGATTTTTTGTTTTATTTAGACAATTAAACAAGCTGTTTAATAGTGCTAGTAAATTTATACAATACAATATTTTAATAAAAATTTTATAGGTTAAATCTAAGGTGAAATACTCAATACAAAAGGTTTATATATATATATATTCATTTATATTGTAATATATTCATTTATGAATAAATAAATCTATATTTGTCATATTTGAAGTTGCAACTTCAGATGAGAGGTATATATATAATCCAAAATTGAGCACTAATTAAATTTAATTTTTTGAAATTTAAGCAAACAATAATTACGATTATATTCTCATTTCAAATCTAGAAGCCTAATATATAGAGTTTCAGTTCTATAAAATGGCGTAATATTTATAATTACAAGAAGAAATCATATTTAATTAATATAGAAACTACAACAATCAATAATAACATATAATTATAAAAAAAATGATTTTTTCTTGTTTACACTCTATTCTAATTTGATTTTTTTTCCAACTTAATTTGCTTATTTTCAATTTTTATTCGATGAGTACCGGTAGTTGATGCTATCAAGATGAATAATGAAGCATAAATCCCTGGTCATTGGTCATCATTTTTGTCGGTAGCAAGACAAAAATAAAATTAATACTTGCATTATGAAAGCAATATTTTAAATATAGTTCAAAATAAAATCAAAGAGCTTACGAATAATGTTGACATTGTTGCAGAACCAAAATTTGCTAATTTATATTCAGCTGGTGAGACACAATGTCTTCCAGGATTTATTGGCCAAAACAAAAAAGGCGTTGTTTTTAGATTACCTAAATGTCAAAATTTAAATGAATGTATTATTTGTCAAAGCGTATTTAATAGTAAAAAGCTTTGTAAAATTTGTGTGGTATGGTTTAACCCTAGAATCATAGATGAGTGAGGCTCGAAAATTAAATCAATGAGAAATCTTTTTTTTTTTTAAGAAAATATAAACCTTAATGATTGTTATTAAATTAATAATTAATTCTTACTTTTTATTTTAGATAACTTATTCATAATTCATAAATATGTAATAAATTATCAATTGTACTTTAAAATTGCACAGGTTTCTCTAATTAAATAGGCTAATTCAAATATCATTCTCATCTACAATTAATATTAGATATTCTTTTCTTGTATAAATGGTAATATTTTTAATATCTTAAGTGGATATTGGAATTGGGCTTGGCAAAATTAAATACAAAAAAAATGAAATAACGATAACTAATGCAATCATAAATGAAAATTAGACGTCATAGTATTTCGGCATCGGTAGATGCTGAAATAAGTCATATGATTAGTAAATTAAGTATCGATGTTAAAAAGTCTCATACCTTTTTATTTAAATCTACTAATGCTATATCGATATAATATTGATGTTAGTTATGCAATTTATTATTACTTTAAACACATTAAATAATCGTGTAGCGAAGAATTTGTGTAATAACAGAAAAATTATTAATATAATGTGAAATAAGCAATTATCTTAGTTTAATTAAAAATATACAAGTGTCGAATACTGTAATGGAATTTCTTAAGTCACATAATCATGTTTACCAAAATTATGATCCGGACCCGAATACATTATATTATGAGCCAAAATGTTACAATTCATTAAACCGTTAGCATATCTTAAACCCAGTTCATTTAAAAGTTAGCACATCTTATAAACTCATTTCATTCTCAGACAGCATCTTGATGCCCGCCGTTGGAGAATAAATGAGTTCAAAATTATAGAATATGATTTTTCTAGTGCTGAGATAAGAGTTATTGATCACAGCACATGTCAAATACGTCAAGTTAGCTTACTATAGTGTTTATACAAGATAACAATTCAGAAAAGACCACATAATTAAAACACATATAAGGCTTATGAAGGAAATACTGTATCATCTTGAAATAACACCTGAGTTGTTTTAATATCTTGGCCTACATTAAGTTAATTTAAGCTTAATGTAGGCAATATATTAGACTACATTCTAGTTGGTTCCGTCTCTTAATAAAATGCAAAAGATAGTGAAAATTTCGTCTTACAAATTTAATTCCTAAGCGTATTTTCTAAAATACTTTAATAGATGTGTTAGTATATTTTCCTGATTAAAATTAATAAGTGACGCATAAAATATAATTAATTTATAGGAAACAAATCGAAGTCAAAACCATATTTAAAGTGAAAAGTGATAAGTTAGTATCAAAATCCTGTTGCTGGTTCAATTCTCTTAATATATTAAGATATTTCTGGAATTTTTCTTCATTAATTATTCTAAAAATTTTTGTTCCAAAAAAATTTATCTTTTTAAATTAAAACTAAGAATGCAGTTTTTAAATTTATATTTATAATAAAAGACGATTTAAATGAATTTATACAATATATTAAAATATTGACTTTATTCTCAATTTTAAGTTGGTTCTAGCTGTAAGCATTATGCAAAAACTACGTTTTTGATTCATTCAATGTTATAAAATCAAGAAAGTAACCGTGAACTTTCTCTCACAAACACGTGACAGAAAGTTCAAAGTTACTGAAACAGACCGCCACTAAGATATCTAAAAAATGCCTTCCATTATGGAGAAGGATGTGATTGATAGCCTCGTACTCCACAATCAACTTCATACGGACCTGAACTAGCAATCTTATTATAATCATTTAATAGTTTTTCGCCTATTTTTTCATAGTCATTAATAATATCAGATAATGCACATCTGATTGCCTATAAAGCTTGAATAAATAACTTAAACTCTTCTATCGTCACTTTCTTATAAGGAATATCCAAGTCAAATACTTCTATCACGTGACAAAAAGGGTGTGCTGGACAATCTAAGACGAGTACTTTGAGCTTTGCTTCTAAAATATTGAAATAAATATGTTTAGCAATATTGAAATAAATATGTTTAGCGACACCATATAATTAAACAAAGGATGCCTAGAGCCTTATTTACCATAAGCTTGGATTAACAATAATTCAGCCTTACGGATATCATTACATAGTTTCTTCCAATCAAATAAATATGCGCATTTTTTCTCAATAAGTTCGTCGAGCATTTTATTTTTCGAGTCATGTCCAAAATGTATTAATTTACATTTATCATTATACACCTTTTTAGTAGTGCATGTAGTTTGAAAAGGAGACCCTGATGTTTCTGCAAATACAATCTCATGGAGATTTTTTGCAATCATCATTTCAATCCAGGTATCTGCCTTCTTTGCTTGTAAAGACGTAAGAAATGGTGCCATCATCCGATCTAACTGTTCACGAGTTTCCTTTTCAAATTTTATATTTTCATTCTTCCGATATTTTGATGCACTTGATGTACTTTCCCCCCTAAATTTAGGTTCGAACACAGAAAATACAGAAACAATATAATATGTTTGGTTATATATTTTAAATAAGCGCAATAATTAAAGTTCTTACATACCAGCGTAACACACATTTATCGAGATTTAATGTTAAAATATCATATAATGGGTGTAATATGAAATGCTCCCAAGTACCTTCATTATATGTAGTCATGAAATCTCCATTAAAATTATTACTTCTCCAAATCTCAAATCTGTAAGAACTTACTGATTATAGAAATTGGAATATAAAACGTATAAATTTATTTATTTATATACTTACAGTTTGCAGCATGCTTTCCAAAGAAAGTACTGCTCCATAAACAAAGAACTTGCATCACTAACTTGTGGAAATAATTTTTCACACACTTGTTGGTTTTCATACAAGTATACAAGATATTGGTCCGAAGTAGGATCCATGTCTTGATGGAATTTTATTGGTGGAGCTGTCATTGCAATTAGTGCTTGCTCATTAAACGCATCTTTAATTTCTTTGGGTAGATTTGAAAAATCAATCACATATGATAATAATGGATTATTATATTCTAGATTCATTATCATTTCCTCAGTAATACTACAACAAATTGTTTTGACAACATCAATTTCTATATTATTTTTATCTGTGAATGTCCATTCCGAGGCATCTTTTTGATCCTATAATTATTAAATATTAAACCAGATTTTAATACCGACCAAGAATAATAAAGTACTAACACTGATAGCCCTTATATTAGTAATAAATCTCTTCTGGAGAGATTTATCAAAGCTTGTCATCGGTATCAACTTATTTTCTAGATTTTTAATATACTTCAAAGTACAGAACACAAGCCTTTTATCACCATTTTTAATCATATTTATGAAAGCTATGCATGCATTTCTGTTGCCCTTCCTTCTATCCGTCTTGAATTCAATATTAAAAAAAAAGATTAATTATTTGCATAAATTAAAATTATATTGAAGGAATAAGATATCCTCAGAAACACATTTTTTCTAAAAGAGAGGCGTATCAAATTACAAAGTGTGAGTCAAAACCACCCACATGTAAACATTAGTTTAACGAATTCTGCAGGTGAATTTGGCAGTACATTTGCCATCGACAAAAATGAGATTAAGTAGGGGCAGCTCAGCGCGAGAAAAAAGTTCTTTGCTCCTGCTTGTAAATCACTTTGCCAATGTTGATTTGATTGGTTTAATGTTTACTCATCATTTATATCATAATGATAAATATTAAAATATAAAGTAACAATAACCTTACGAGTTTCGTCAAACTCTTTTTCATAAGGTTTCCAACATGCATCATTTCATAGTTTGTCAACTTTGAGAAAGAAATTATTTGTGCTTTGGTCATTAAATTCAGTTTCTATTCCTTGAGCAAGGAGCTATGCCAAAATTCAACTGCGAAAACTTTTCTTGGATCATAAATTTTGAAGAACTTGTCATATATATCTCCTGAATCTCCATCCTCAACTCTAATATCATTCATTTTAGTTCTCTTAGTATGACTAAGTTTTATCTTTTTCTTTAATCTGTTCATAATAAGGTATTTGATTTTAGTATTTACATAGAGAAAAATTTCACACAAATGTTTCTTAATATACTAATTACCGTATTTAAGCAACTCGGAGTAATATCAATATAAAACAAGATTTTTGAGACCAGAACCAGGAAGTGAATATATATCAAAATGCGAGAGTTGCAACTAGAGGTGAAAATCGATTCAATAATCAAGATAAGATACATATTACAGTATTAATCATATGATGTTATGAGTCATACCGAAACCAATACTGTCAAATTGAATTGAACCTAGGTGCCGCACAAAAAATGCGCGGCAGATCCTCGATTTTGATTGACTAAGAGCGACAATTAAAATTTTTGGCCGGAATTACTCGAAATTTTACTAATGAAATCACAGCCGCCCATTAAGAGAAAATTGTTCATGATCGTGCCTCTAAAATATTATTTATATAGTTTCAAAATAACGCCTATATGCGTCCTTTTTTGTTTGTCTACTTTTTATATAAATACTTAAATTTTTTTGTCTCAAAATAACATTCATGGCTTTAGCCATTCCACAAAATTGATATATGACTATTACTTATATAATAGTATCAAAATAATTTACATTTTTTATTAATACATTTAGCAAACAGAATTTGTTTTTAGAAAGATATCATTAGTTAATTAGTTATTATATAAAATCTCAAAATCTGATTGGCTGGCCCAAAGCTACCTTTTGCTGTGAGCACCTCAATATACACAGTTAATAGAAAAGTTAGTTAATTTAGGTTATTGATGAGCATTAAAAACAAAAAGTCGCGAAAATAACACAATTAATTAAAAACACTGTTCGTTCTCCGATGGCATTTTGATTAGCGTTGTAAACTTAATTAAAATAATTTTTTATTTTAAATGCTAAAAATCAAAATCAATTACATTTTTGCATTTTTAATAATTTTTGTATTATTTAAAAACTGATAGTATTGTGTAACATATGTACTACAAGAACATAAGTATGTATGCATATACAGTACGACTGTATATATATTACGTATTAAATGTTGATCAATCTATTACTATATTGATCATATTATTTATCACTGATAAAATTATTATTGGATTACTATAATAAATTTTCGCTTAAATTTAATTATGATATATTGCAATTTTTGCAATTACTAAACAATAATATTTTTGTAAATTAAACTATTTTGGTATTTAAATTTAATTAAGTTTACAACGCTACACACGATCTAATAAAAAAGTGGGCCCTTTTTTTTGTCGATCACGGGTGAATCAAAAAAGATGGACCCCATGAATCAAATTACACGGGAAAAATGGCTAATCTTTTTCCGCAACACTTCACCTTTGGATAATGATGATTTCGATGATAAAAATTTAAGTAATTAGGCATATTGAGAAAATGTTAATAATTTTTAATCATTCAGCTTATTCCTTCTCTGATATAGAAAAGCGTAGTTACGATGATTCGGTAGATAAGGACCACCAAAATGCTGCAGAAATAAAAAGACAAGGATTATCAAAATGCTGCAGAAAATAACAAGACAAAAAAAAAGATCGATTTGATCAACATCTAGATGCTTCAAACCTTTCTTCTTGGAAAAAATCATTGGAAAGTAATGATGAAGATGCGGTATAGTTAAATTATTTCATTGATGATTTTAAAAATTTCAATAATTTCTGTCGAGTATCCACTCAATTTTTCAAATAATTTATTTGTAGATTTTGCAAATAAGCCTGTGTAATATTTCATTGGCATTATGCCCATGTCCATAAAATCCAAGTTTATCTAGACCCTGAGAAAAATGGAAACCTCCTTAAACATGTTGGAGACATAAGTTTTTCAGTATATTCTGGTCGTATGAGAATTATACATCTCTTTTAATCAAACATTATTTCACAATATTTTCATATTTTAATCGACATTTATCATAAAACAATCTTAAATCGTAAGCAATATTGTGAAGGTTTCCGATGAATGGTAAAGGTAACGAATCAGGGAGTGGATTGGAGTGAGTTAAGTATTTTAATGAAGTTGGAAGCATAGGTAACAAAGATTAAAACAAAGAGGAAGAAATGATCTGTAATATTAAGGGTTTCAATAATTTTTCGAATAGCCATTTTGCGTTATGTGTACCTATCCACCAAGAGACCGAACAAATCAAAATTAAACTTCCTTGACGTACTAATTTTTGATTAAGAATCTGTTTTATCCATACTATATTTTGTTGACCACACATATTTACAACAAAAAATCTTTTTATATGAAATTTGTCACATAAAGAATAAAGTTTCGTGTTACATTTTATACGATAGCATTATTTTTAAGGTTATCATAAATAATTGGAGGTACGTACGTACGTACGTAAATGACCGGATAAAAGATCCTCTATGTACTATATCTGGATGTGAATTACAGAATTTACAATAATAAAAACTTTTTTTTAAAAAAAAAAATCTAGGCTGCCTGTTAAAAATAAAAAATATGCATGCTTTTTAAAATTCTCTTTAATGTTTCAAACTCAACCATGTACTATACCCGCAGTTTATTATAGTTTAGCATTAGTGGAATGTAAGAGACCCAGATCTTTTAGCCAGCCATTTACCGTATATTATATTCGCACGTCACAAGACGTAATTATTGATTATAGTTGAATGGAAAACCGTTATTAGCTTTAAATTAATGATCATGTTATTAAACAGTTACGCGGAAATTTATGTGTATTACGATACGGCGCTGACTACACCCGGGTGTTAATTGTGGAGGTGTACTATCATAGGTGTTCTTTGCATAGTCTAAATATAAGTATTAATATATTAAATTGAATAGGTGAATTTTTTTATAATTGGTTAAATTCTTATTAAATATTTTTTTTAATCAAATATCCTCTTATCTGGTTTATGTATACTCTTTAAGTTAATCCGATATAAAGCTTTTAATCTGCTTAATCTTAAAAAATTTACTTGGTTATATATATTTCATATGGGTGGTGCTCATTTCACCGACAATCACTTCACCGACAGCTTAGTTCACCGACAATTAATTCACCGACAAGTTCA